TCTCTTGTTTTCAGTTTATATAGTTTCTATTCATACGTCTTCCAGAACATTCCAGTACACTGATTTTTTCTTCTTCTTCAGTATCTAATTCTTTGTTAATCTTGTCCAATGAATTTATTGCAGACATTTTTTTTTAATCCTCACCCGAGGAGATATATATATATATATTTATTTATTTATTTATTTTTTTACTGATTTTTAGATAGAGTGGGAGGGAGGAAGGGAAAGAGAGAAAAAAAAAATCAATGTGAGAGACACATTGATTGGTTGCCTTCTGCAAAACCTCGATTGGGCTAGGGATGTAACCTGCAACCAAGGAATGTGCCCTTGGCCGGTAATTGAACCTTGGACTCTTAGGTCTGCTGGCCGATACTCTAACCTCTGAGACAAACTGGCCAAGGCATATTTTTATTTTTTTAAATCTTCACTTGAGGATGTTTATTGATTTTGAGAGAGAGGAAGGGAGAGAGAGAGACATCAATTGGTTGCCTCTGGTACATGCCCCGACTGGGGATCAAACTTACAACCTAGGTACCTTTTGGTTTACCGGATAACACTCCAACCAGCTGAGCCACCCAGCCAGGGCAGATACTGTTTTTTGTTTTTGTTTTTTTCAGATATTCTTAGGATCCAGAAATTCTATTTGATTCATTTTTGTATTTTCGCCATTCTCATTGTTATTGATTTCCATTAAATCCTTCAGCATATTTATAATAGCAATTTCAAAGTCCTTGTCTACTATTTTACCATCTCTGTCATTCTGGGTCTGTTTTTATTGATTGTTTTTCTCCCGGTCACATTTACCTGCTTCTTTGCATGTCTAGCAATTTTTTTATTGAATGCTTAGTACTGTGAAATTTACATTGTTGAATGCTGGAATTTGTCTTCTTTTAAAATGTCTTGAACTTTGTTCTGGCAGGCAGTCAGGTTTTTGTGTGAATCAGCTTGATCCTTTCATGGCTCCTTTTTAAGACTTGTAAGTAGCCTCTCTCTAGGGCTAGTTTTAGCCCTACACTGAGGTGTCCCCTTCTGGAATTCAAGTTCACTGTTCCAGGTGTTCAAAAAATTCAACAAGCCCTGGCCAGTTTGGCTCAGCGGTTGGAGCATCAGCCTGCAGTCCAGAGAGACCTGGGTTCGGTTCCCGCTAAGGGCACGTACCTCGGTTGCAGCTTGTCCCTGGCCCTGGTGGGTCGTGCAGGTGGCAGCCACTCGATGTGTCCCTTTCACATCAATGTTTCTCTCTCTCTTCCTCTCTCTTCTTCCCACTCTGTCTGAACAAAAAAATGGAAAAATGTCCTCGGGTGAGGATAAAAAAAAAAATTCAACAGGAACTCCCCACATTAACTGGTCAAAACTCAAACATCTCCCAGCCATCTGTTAACTTTGAGAATTACTCCATTTACAGTTACCCAAGAGTTCTTTGCCTGGCTACATTGAGTTTCACCCTATTCATTTGCAGCTTAGTACTCAGCAACAAACTCAAGCATCCTCTAAGCAGAATTCTGGAGCTCTTTCTCTGGGTAATTCCCTCCTGTCTATGATAAAACTAGTAACATTTTACTAACTATTCACTAAAATCTGAGTAATTAATTTAGTGAAGTTTACTGTAAAATGTCAGCTTTGCTCGGTTTGAAAATTAAATAAGATGTTTGAAAATCATCAGATTACATACAACAAATATAATGCCACCATTTGTAAAGGTATTTGTGAGATTATACAATACCACGAAAAGGGTTCTAAGTCAGAAATGGCTGGGAAATGCTGGCCATCCCTCTAGCTAGGACAATAGGTTGAAAGAACATCTAAGTTCAAGTGGCTCTTTGCCGTTTTTGCAAACATAAATCCTTCAGATTCTCAGCTCCACTGCCATATGTTCATCTGTGAAGCTTTCCTCAGTCTTGCCATCTCTACTGAATCAGTCTGCTGATTACTTCTGAAGCATAAGGCACTCATTTTGGCACAGCTCACTTTCTGTCTCTACGCATGTTTGCATATAGATTTTTCTCATGTGCAACCAGTGGTTGCAAACTAGTGAGCCAAAGCCAGTCCACAGATGTGTTTTATTTGGCCTAAAGATTTCAAAGAGCTATTTGTTCACATTTAAAATATAGATTTCACATAAAACTTGGATTTCTGGATCCTTGACAAGTGATCAAGCAACACTGGATACGCATTCTTATAGTAATAGCTTACAGCAGAAGCAGTTTTCCAGTGCCTACTGGGCCTGCTTCCCTCAGTTACCCCTCAGGTGGTTGAGTTTGCAACTGCTAGACCTATGCTAATATGGTAACCACTAGCCACATATGGCTATTTGAATATAAATTAATTCAAATTTGAATTCATTATAATGAAATAACACTTAAAACTCAGTACCAGTCACATTAGCCACATTTCAGGTGCTCAAAAGCCACATATGACTAGTGGCTAGCATATTGGACAATGCACAATAAAATTTTGCCATTTCTGCAGAATATTCTGTTGGATAGTGCTTACCTAGCCTGTCTCTGTTCTACACATTTGAGACTTACTGGGATTTTTGGTTTTTAATAATTTCAAACTTTAACATTGATATATCACTGCCATCAAATATTTAAGTTTACCAGTTGTCCCAATAACACCCTAAATAACAAAAGGGTCCAGTTTAGAATCACGTGTTGCATTCAGTTGTCTCATCTCTTGTCTATTTGTTTTTTTTTTTTTATCCTCACCCGAGGATATTTTTCCATTTTTTGTACAGATAGAGTGGGAGGGAGAGAGAGGGAGACAGAGAAACATCGACGTGAAGGGACACATCGAGTGGCTGCCACCCGCACGACCAACCAGGGCTGGGGACAAACTGCAACCGAAGTACGTGCCCTTAGCGGGAACCGAACCCGGGTCTCTCCGGACCGCAGGCCGACACTCTAACCGCTGAGCCAAACTGGCCAGGGCTCATCTCTTGTCTATTTGGGACAGTTCGTCAGTCTTTCCTTGACTTTTACAACCTTGACATAGTGAGGGTTATGCTATACAATGTCTAATTTTATAGAATGCCCCTCAATTATTTATTGTTTTTATTTTTTATTTTTGTTTTAAAGGGAGTAGAGAGGAAGAGGAGAGATGCTGAAAGGAAGGGGACTCGAAGGGTTGGGAGGAGAGAGGTGAAGGGTGAGGAGGAAGAGGAGGGGGCAGAGGTGTGAAAGAGAGAATGCCTCTCAATTTATCTGGTTAGTTTCAGCTTACCGGTTTTTTGTTTTTTTTTTTGCAGGAATTAGTGATGCATTTTTTTATTGCTGCCAATAGGTGGCAGTTATTTGTCCCGTTATTGGTGATGACAGCTTTAACCCGTTACTGCCTGCCAAGCTTCTCCAGTGTACTTTTTCCTTTTGTAATTAGTATGTATCCCTTTCCTCACCAAACTTCCAGCTGATTCACTTATTTATATTAGTACGAATTCATATTTTATTCAATGGACTATAATCTAATGCTGTCATTATATATATATATATATATATATATATATATATACATATATATATATATTTTTTAAATCTTCTCCTAAGAATATGTTTATAGATTTTAGAGAGAGGGGAGCGAGGGAAAGAGAGTAAAACAAACATCAGTTAGTTGCCTCTCGTACACAACCCGATCAGGGATAGAACCCAAAACCTTTTGGTGTACGGAACAATGCTCAACTAACTGAGCCACCCGGCCAGGGCTGTCATCACATATTTTGATTCTCAAATTGTCCTAGATTTAACTAGTGGTTTTTTGCACTTTTGACACGTTCCTATTGTTCTTTAAGTACTTCCTTCTTTCTGGAACAACAAAATGTTCCAGGCTTCTCTTGCATTTTCCCTGCCTAGCCCTAGAATTACCCATTCCTCCAAGGAGCCCTGGTTCCTTTTATTGGAAAATGAGGCCCTCTTTGTGGGCTGAGCTAGGGAATATACACACTCCCTACATATACACATACTGGCATCTATTTACTTACATTGAAATCTATTTACTTTATACCTATACTTTAATACTGCAGGGTTCATTTTATTTTTTCCTTTTCCATATTTGTAACTTCATTCTCTGCTAGCTCCCATTATCTTCAATATACTTTTTTATTTTACTTTTTAATACTCACCTGAGGGTATTTTTCCATTTATCTTCAGATAGAGTGGGAGGTAGAGAGGGAGAAACACTGATGTGAGAGAGACACTTCAATTAGTTGCCTCCCGCATGACCCAGACCAGGGTCAGGGACCAACTCGCAACCTAGGTCCGTGCCCTTTACAGGAATCAAACCTGTGACTCCTTGGTCCGCAGACCAACACTCTAACTGCTAAGCCAAACCAGCCAGGCTCAATATATATATTTATTTATTGGATCAATCCCACCTGCATGGCATGTAACCAATCTCTCATTGTCAGTACTACCTACCAGGTGCCCTTATCTCTTCCTGTTTGGACTCTAGTACCCGTTCCTCCACATACCTATACCCTCCTCACTCCTTATATAAAAAAAGATATATTTTAAAGAAAAGCAACTTTGTTGGACACCAAGACCAAAAACTGTCAAAAGACACTTTTGAGACAAGCTTTCATATGAAGTGGGTATTTAATAATGATATTAATCAATTATTGTTCATTTTAAATGTGATAATGGCATCAAGGTAAATAAAAAATAAAAGTCTTTATCATTAAAGAGAAACATGCTAGGTGAGATGGGTATAAAAGGGTTGATTATTATGCTATCCTTATGTTTAAAATTTTCAAATAGCCCTAGCCGGTTTGGCTCAGCGGTTAGAGCATCGGCCTGTGGTCCCGAGATTCCCAGGTTCAGTTCCCCCTAAGGGCACGTACCTCGGTTGCAGTTTGTCCCCGGCACTGGTTAGGTCGTGTGGGTGGCAGCCACTCGATGTGTCCCTTTCACATCGATGTTTCTCTCTCTCTCCTTCCCTCCCTTCCTCCTACTCTCTCTAAAGAAATAAAATAAAATAAAATTTTCAAATAAAAAAAATTCTAATTAAAATAAAGGTCTGCAGATCACTGGATTTTATTAAGACAGAATCACTGCTAATTACAGAGAAGCTACCTGCCAAACCAAAATCCATGAGATGTTCACATGAGCTTAGTTACACAAATAAGAAACAAATGGCATGTTCAAAACCATGAGTAAATATCCTCTTGCCCAGATGATGTCCAAGGATGAATAAGTCTGCACATTTATTTCAAGCTGTTAAAGAGTTTGTGGGCCACCTAGATGGAGGGGAAAAAAGTCATTAATTAGCAGCTTTAATGTCATGGATTACAAGGTTCTTCCTGACCTGGAACAGTACTGCCCCTTCTCTCACCACTCCCCTTCTCACACACTCCCACCTCCTCTGAGCTATAGTGAATGCCCCTCAGTTACCTGAATCTCCCTTCTACCTAGAACTCTCTTCTCCAGTTTTTTCATCTTTTCCTTTAGAACTTAAAAATCTCCAAACAAGCCCTATCCCCACACAAATCTGTCCCTCTTCTGTCTTCTCCACAAAAACACAGGCCTCCTATATCACAGTGCTTATTAATTCCACAAATATTTATACATGTAAATGCCAGGTACTGTTCTAGGTGCTGAGTGAGTTACAGTAATAAACTTAACAATATCTGTCTCTTACGGAACTTAGAGAATAACAGAGAAATATAATATACACACAAGGTTAATTCTGAAAGTGATAAATACTGAGGGAAATAAAATGGGCAGGGGGACATGGCAGCTTTATTTTTTTTTTATCCTCACCTGAGGACATTTTTCCATTTTTTGTTCAGATAGAGTGGGAGGGAGAGAGAGGAAGAGAGAGAGAAACATTGACGTGAAAGGGACACAGAGTGCCACCCGCACAACCTAACCAGGGCTGGGGACAAATTGCAACCGAGGTACGTGCCCTTAGTGGGAACCGAACCTGGGTCTCTCTGGACCGCAGGCCAATGCTCTAACCGCTGAGCCAAACTGGCCAGGGCCATAGCAGCCTTAAACATGGGGTTCAGTGAAGGCCATCCTAACACAGGTACACCCAAGAGACTTAGCAATTTACTAATGTTCTCGGGCTCATAATGAAGAGACAGACCAGGCTGTCTCACTCCCAGATTTTAACCTAGTGCTTTGCTCATAAAAATATTTTAAAAACACAAAATTTACAATTTTAAACCATACATTTCTATGGCACTGAGTATACCCATAACTGTCCTGCAATTATTAATCTCCATTTTTTCACCTTTGTAAACTAAAACTCTATACCCATTAAGTAAGAATTTCCGCCTGGCTAGTATGGCTCACTGGGTGAGTGTCGATCCATGCACCAAGAGGTTGCCGGTTCGATTCCCGATCTGGGCAAATGCCCAGGTTGTGGGCCAAATTCTCAGTGGGGGATGTGCGGGAAGCAGTCAATCGATGTTTCTATCTTTCTCTCCCTCTCCTTTCCTCTCTCTAAAAATCAATAAACAAACAAAAAAATATATATATATATATAAAAAAAGAATTTCCCATTTCCCCCTCCCCTCAGCTCTTGGCAACCACCGTTCTACTTTCTGTCTCTATGAATTTGACTACTTTAAGGTATTTCATATAAATGAAATAACATTTATCCTTTTGTGATCAGTTTATTTCACTTAGTATGCCTTCAAGTTTCATCCATGTTGTAGCAGGTGTCAGTTTCCTTCCTCATTAAGGCTGAATATCTGTGTGTGTATGCATTATATATACACATAAAACATTTTGTTTATCCATACATCTATTAACGGACACTCAGGCTGCACCCCTTTTTGGCTATTGTCAATGTTATGAAAATGCATGTATAAATATCTTTTTCAAGTCCTTGAATAGTCTCAATTCTTTTGAGTATATAATCAGAATGGAACTACCAGATCAATATGGTAATTCTATGTTTAAAGTTTTCGGTAAAGTGCTTGATTTCTTTTTATTTTTTAGAGACAGAGAAACTGATTTGTTGTTCCACTTATTTACACATTCATTGGCTGATTCTTTTTAAAAGAGAAATAGAAACTTTTTAGAGAGAGAAATAGAAACACCAACGTGAGAAACAACAAACGGCTGCCTCCTGCACACCCCCTACTGGGGATCAAATCTGCAACCTGGGCATGTGCCCTGACCAGGAATCAAATCAGGACCTCTCAGTCCATGGGACAATGCTCAATCCACTGAGCCACTCTGGCTGGGCTCATTGGCTGATTCTTGTATGTGCCCTGATCAGGGATTGAACCTGCAACCTTGGCATATAAGGATGATGCTCTGACCAACTGAGCTACCTGGCTTGGGCCTTGATTTCTTTTTATTGCCAAATATTTCATTATATGGATATATTAGTTCATGGACATTTATGTTGTTTCCACTTTTTGGCTATTAATAATGCTTCAGCCCTGGCCGGTTTGGCTCAGCGGTTAGAGCATTGGCCTGCGGTCCAGAGAGACCGTGGTTAGGTTCCTGCTAAGGGCACGTGCCTCGGTTGCAGTTTGTCCCTGGCCCTGGTTGGTCATGCGGGTGGCAGCCACTCGATGTGTCCCTTTCACGTCAATGTTTCTCTCTCTCTTTCTTCCTCTCTCTCCCTCCCACTTTATCTGAACAAAAAATGGAAAAAAAATATCCTCGGGTGAGGATTAAAAAATAAAATAAAATAATGCTTCGCCTTGGCTGGTGTTGCTCAGTTGGTTGGGCATCGTCCTGTGCATGGAAAGGTTGCTGGTTCGATGTCCAGTCAGGGCACATGCCCAGGTTTCGGGCTTGCCCCTGGTTGGGGGAGTGCAGAGGCAGCCAATCGATGTTTCTCTCTCTCTCCCTTCTTCTCTAACAAAAATTTTAAAATCTTAAAAAAAAAGAAGGCTTCTATGAATATCTTTGTACAAGTTTTTTTTAATCCTCATCCGAGGATATTTTTCTATTTATCTTCACATAGAGTAGGAGGGAGAAACATCAATATAAGAAGGACACATCAACTGGTTGCCTCCCGCACAACCCCAACCATGACCGGGGACCAACCCCAACTAAGGCACATGCCCTTGACCAGAACTGAACCCACAACTCATTGGTCCACGGGCTGACGCTCTACCACTGAGCCAAACTGGCCAGGGCTGTACAAGTTTTTATGTAGACATATGTTATCATTTCTCTTAGGCATATACCTAAGGGTAGAATTACTGGGTCATATAGTAACTCTATGTTTAACCTTTTGAAGAACGCCAGACTGTTTTCCAAATGCTGTACCAATTTACATTCCCGTCAGCAGTGTATGAGGTTTCCGATTTCCCCACAGTGGCCAACACTTGTTACCTATTTTTTTTTATTGGAGCCAATCTAGTGGATGTGAAGTGGTAACTCACTGTGGTTTTGATCTGCATTTCCCTGATAGCTAATGGTGTTGAACATTTTTTCATATGCTCATTAGCCATCAAATCAATTTAAACATAAGCAACCAGTCCGGCTGATATGGCTCAGAGGTTGAGCATCGACCCATGCACCAGGAGGTCGCCAGTTCAATTCCTGGTCAGGACACATGCCCAGGTTGTGGGCCTGATCCCCAGTGGAGGACATGCAGGAGGTGGCCAATCGATGTTCTCTCTCATCGATGTTTCTATCTCTCTCTCTCCCTCTCCTTTCCTCTCTCTCTAAAATCACTAAAGAAAAAAAATTTTTTTTTTAAATAAGAGTTAAACGTAAGCAACCATATCAAATTCTGTCTACCCTATAATTTAAAATACCTTACTAAGGGGGCGGGAATGGGGAGGAGGGTGTCAATGGTGGAAAAAAGGACAGACATTTATAATACTTTCAACAATAAAGATAAATTTAAACAAAAAATAAAATAAAATAAAATGTCTTACTATTATATGTAAGAGAGCCTAACACATAAGTTATTTTAAAGAACAGCCTGTTACCTAAAAGTACAAAATCCAAGCTTCTCCACTGTTTAGCAGTACAAGTTGGGTTATCATATTTCTTCTCTGAGCTTGTTTCTAATGTGTAAAGTGGGGATGATACCTGCCTCCAGTGAAGGTATTAGATTTAGGAATTCTTATAAAGTGCTCAGTACTGCACCTGACATATATTGAGCCACAATAAATGCTAGAATGGAAAAGTGGTCAGAACCAAGTCTTCCCTGGCCAATGTAAGCTTTCACCCTTCCTGAGTTTAGGCTGACTTACACAGTGGTCCCTTGCATGCAAGAAGTCAAAGAGCTCCTCTGTGCAATCCTCCTCTGTGTTTGACCTGGAGGACACACGCTCATCACAGAGCTGTAGCCGCTCCCGAGCCTTTACACATTTCTCCAACTGCTCGCACTGCTCTCTCACTGTTGTTAGGGGATCCTGATGGAGAAACAAACAAAAATAAAATAAAATGGAGGTTTCAGGAGGTGATCCACAAACTATATGCCTTAATTAATACAACTACCAAACCAAGATGCTGCCTCTGAATTACCGTGCAGAAGGCCAGCTGGCAGAGCCACACTGCCGCCAGAAATGGCAGAATGGGGTCTCCCATTCAATTCTGATGCTAAGTAGTAGGGAAAAGTTTCACATTTCTGCCTTCCAAGGTTGCCAGTATGCACTGAAAGCCTCAGTCCTATCTGAAAAACAAGGTGGTAAAGGAAACCTGGCCAAACTTGAGGTATATCTATAGGAGGCCTTACTTGTTAACACGGCATTTTGGGACATGTAATATCTGTGAATTTCCGTTCCCCTCACCTGAAGCAAGGCCTATGCACCCCAGCTGCCCAGCTAGAAAGGTAATGTTAACATAGAGAAGGACCATGCAAGAACAGTGCCTTCCAGGATTCTTTATTAAGCCACCAATAGCAGATGTCTGAGTGTCAGACCCTCAAGATGCTACTCTGCTCCCTGACACACTGGAGAAGCACCAAACCCAGAAAAGACCCAACTTCCCAGGCCCACACCCCCAAACACTCCACTGCACAGGAAGGAAGTATTAAAGGCCTTTTCGCCCAGCTGGTGTGGTTCAGTGGATTGAGCATCATCCCATGGACTGAGAGGTCCAAGTCAGGGCACATGCCTAGGTTGCTGGCTCGATCCCCAATAGGGAACCTGCAGGAGGCAGCCAGTCGATGTATCGCTCTCACATCGATGTCTCTATCTATCCCTCCCTCTCTCTTAAAAAAACAATCACTAAAAACATTTTTAAAAAAGGCCTTTTTCACTCCCATTCTCTCCAAGGTGTCAAATATAAAGACTCCTCAAAATGGCTCCAGAGTTTCATGAAGTTCAAACTTCCTTTTACTGTGATGGTCCCAAACCTGAGACAGCTCTTACCACTAACTCCTCTTCCTCTTCCTCCTACAAAAGGAAAACAAAATGGATATCAGCAGCAATTTTATGACATATGTATTCTCAATCATAGTGATCTTGTAATTATTATTATCATTATTATTATTTTTTATCCTTACCCGAGGACATTTTTCCATTTTTTGTGGGATGGGGAGAGAGAAACATCAACATGAAAGGGATACATCGAGTGTCCTACACGACCCAACCAGGGCCAGGGACAAACTGCAACCGAGGTACATGCCCTTAGCGGGAACTGAATGCGGGTCTCTCTGGACCGCAGGCCGACGCTCTAACTGCTGAGCCAAACCAGGGCTGATCTTGTAATTATTGATGACAGACATTACATTAATGTTTTAAATTTCTGTATTTTATGATGCTTTGACATTTTAGGGGCCCTGCCAATCCTAGAGAGACTGCCCCTCCCAGGGCTGACTAATTTCTAGAGATAAACAACTTGCCTGGGGGTACACCTCTCATATGCAAAACAACAATCCAAATCCCTTACCAACAACCACTTTATCCAACTCTCTTACCTAAACCAATTATTGCCCCTGCCCTAATCACCCCGGGGCCAAGAATCAAACAACTGGTGACCACCCCTGTAGCCCAGAGTTCACTGAAGTGATTCAAATGATCCAATCCTAAACTTGCTAAAGCTTGCTTATCCTGCTTCACCCATTCCTTCCCCTAGAACCCAAGGCTCTGGTTTCCCTGGTTCCTTCTGCTCCTGAATGGTCCAGGCACTTCTCTATGTGGCCCTAGGTGGTATGGCCTTATTACTATAAGTAAGAACTATTAGTTATAGTTATTTTGGGAACTATAAGTAATAAACTCTTATTTCGAAAACAGTTGCCTCGCCCTGGCCGGTTTGGCTCAGCGGTTAGAGCGTCAACCTGCGGTCCAGAGAGACTAGGGTTCGGTTCCCACTAAGGGCGCGTGCCTTGGTTGCAGTTTGTCCCTGGCCCTGGTTGGTCGTGTGGGTGGCAGCCACTCGATGTGTCCCTTTCGCATCGATGTTTCTCTCTCTCTCTCTTCCTCTCTCTCCCTCCCACTGAACAAAAAATGGAAAAATGTCCTTGGGTAAGGGTCAAAACAAAACAAAAAAACAGTTGTCTCAATGTCTGTAACCTTACCATACCTGGTTAAAACAAATCCTGGGTACATTTCAACGAGGACATATTATCTCACTCTTTCATTAGCCACAACCTAAAGCATGCACAACACTATAGTTTATAAAGCAATTTCATATCTATAATGATTTTATTAATCACAACAACCCTAAGGGACTACCAGTTGAGAGATATCACTAATTAGACATTTTCTGATATAGATTCAAGCTGACAGATGTTCATATGGAACTTATATGACTTTAAAAAGTATTTTGTTCTAAATTCTGGTGAGTCCTACTATTACCAGAAATAGCTAAATTTAGTCCTTACATCCAAGTTAGGAGGAAAACTAACATTTTTTTCTAATTTCTGAACTTGAATTGGTAATTTGAAAATGGCCAAACCTAAACTCTTCTTTAGTCACAGCCTAACTAAAGATGGGTACAGCCACTCCTTTTTGGCTTGCCTAACTCCCAGGACTCAAAGTAAACCTTCAATATAAGATGTCTACAAGTCTCCATTCACAAGCTTGGAAACACCAGGCCCTTTCTATTTCTAATTCTGGTGCACAATCTCAAACTTAGTTTCCTTTCTTCCAAGGGGAACAGTGTAAAAAAAAAATCCCTGTGGGAGCATCAGCACAGGCCTAAATCTGGGTCATAGCTGAGTCTATCTGAGGAGTATTTTAATCAGTTATGCACATGTCCACATTTAGGAGAAGGGAAAGAAAAGGTATAGAGGGAAATAAAAGAACTAGCTCAGGATCCCTCATTGTTTTCAAAATTCCAACACAATCTGGTTCATTTTCTACCATGCCCTTCAGGGAAGGGACCAAAGCACTTGAAAGCAGGGAAGAGTAGGACAAGTTCAATTGTAACCCAGGCTATTTATTCCCACAATTGGCAAAGGTCTATTCTAAACATAAAGGTGTTAAGATGTAAAATTCTAGTTTTTCATTAAATAAGGTTTCTTAACCTTGTTCTTAAAAAAAAAACATACTAAAAAAGTTGTCCAAAGAAACAAATCACATTCTGCCTGAGTTAGAAACCAGAAATTAGTTATCCTAGAAGACCTTTATATCACTTCCCTATTAGCAACGCTACTATATTAATCGTTTTGTGGGAAAAAATCCAAATACAAGTCTGATTATGGATTACTTCATGCAAAATTTCCAGCCAATAAGAAAAACCAACATCACACTAAAAAGATTTAATCTCCAAGAAGTACGGGTTCGCCCGGCTGGTGTGGCTCAGTGGTTGAGCATCCACCCATGCACCAAGAGGTCGCTGGTTCAATTCCAGGTCAGGGCACATGCCCAGGTTGTGAGTCAAATTCCTAGTGGGGGGCATGCAGGAGGTGGCCAATCAATGTTCTCTCTCATCGATGTTTCTATCTCTCTCCCTCTCCCTTCCTCTCTCTCTCTGTAAAATTCATAAAGAAAAAAAAAAAAAAAAGGAAGTATGGGTTCTTCATAAAAGACCTCCATTTTCTTAATTTTAAAATTGACTACTTATTTACTTTCTTTTTCTCATCTACCTCTGTGGTGAGTGAGCCCTACTGAAGTTTCTGGTATACTCCCTGAACTTCCTAAGGCTAGCTCCATGTTTTTCTGGTCTTTCTGAAAATAATGAAGCTAGGAAAAATTAAGGGATAAACTAGTTTCCAACTACTCTGAACCCATAAGTGCAAAATTGCTGCCCCAAAGTGACAGAGAACAGATAGGAAATGTGATTGGAAGCAACAGCTAGCCGGCTTCTGGAAAGCTGTACAGCCTCGTGGCTAAGTTTTAGCTCTGGAACCGTGCTGCTTGGTGCAGGTCCTGGCTCCATGATTTATTAGTTGTGTGTCCTTAAACAAGATATTTAACCTCTCTAGCTTGTTTCACCTGTAAAATGGTAATACTAACACCTAATACCTCATGGGACGATTGTGTGGTTTAAACGAATTAGCACATATAAAGCACTTGAAATAGAAAGCAGTCAATAAATAAAAAATTATTATATCGGCATTCTTACCCTGGAAAAGAGCTCCCTCTTTCACCACAGTATTATACTGCACATCCCAACACCGTCCCCAAGGAAAGCTACCACCCCCCAACCCCCACAAAGAAAAAAAACCCCACTTCTTTCACACAAAGTAGTCTAAGGCCGAATCTCCAGAACCTCCATAGCTGTGGCAGGAATTCCTGACCTAAGCTGGGGTCAGGGCTAGGGTTGGTCGCTTGCTCCCCAAACCTGTCAAATCAGGGACACCTAATTGACTGAAAATACACTATTTTTACAAAAGTAGTCAACACTGCCCTGGCCGGTTTGGCTCAGCGGTTAGAGCGTCAGCCTGCGGTCCACAGAGACCCGGGTTTGGTTCCCGCTAAGGGCATGTACCTTGGCTGCAGTTTGTCCCCGGCCCTGGTTGGGTCGTGTGGGTGGCGGCCACTCGATGTGTCCCTTTCACATGGATGTTTCTCTCTCTTCCTCTCTCTCCTTCCCGCCCTATCTGAGTAAAAAATGGAAAAATGTCCTCGGGTGAGGACAAAAGTCGTCGACACAGCATTTTCGCTCTCGTTAAACCTTCATCATATTCATAGCATGGGGAGGTCGAGGCCCAGAGAAAGACTAGTCATCTACTTGCCCCAGGCCACTCACGAATTCTGGGGAAGGAAGGGTCAAGGGAAACAGTTTTCCCGACGCTGAAAACTCTGGTGGTGGGGGGGTGCGGAATTCAGGACCGAGCGGGCTGCGGGCGTTTTTGGCGGGCTAGGTCCTGATCCTCCAGTCGATCACTTTGCCTTACCTCCTTGGGATCTCCGGACCCGGTCAGCATCTTTCGCTCGTCCTCCAGCCCCATGTCCAGCTACGGATCTGGATTCAACACAAACAGCAACAGCGGCACCTATTTCACTTCAGAATCAAGAAGGACTTGTAAGGGTCACTCGGCGGATATCCGGCGATCTGGCCGGAAGTGCGGCAGACTCGTCGTAGTCGCGAACACACGCTCTGATTGGCATGTACTACCGTCCTTAGCCAGGGGATAGGGGTAGCTGTTATTTGCACCTGAGCAGAATTTATTTAGAAATAACCCCTTAGTCACGCCAGACCCAAATATGTTGACCTAGAGATTTATTTAAAGTATTTACTTTCTAACAGACTTTGTAAGTATGCAGACTTATTCGCTGTTCCTTTAGCGCAGTTCCCATTCTTACCCACATCGCTGATGAAACCGTCCTAACTGCTGACCTTTTCAAGATGGCGGTCCGCGGCTGCCACTCTCGGGCTCGCGCACCTCCCCAAGATGGCGGCGCCCGAGGCCTGGCGCGCCCGGAGTTGCTGGTTCTGTGAGGTAGCGGCGGCAACGACCATGGAGGCCACGTCCCGGGAGGCGGCGCCAGCGAAGAGCTCGGCCTCGGGCCCCAGCGCTCCCCCCGCCCTGTTCGAGCTGTGCGGGCGGGCGGTGAGCGCCCATATGGGGGTTCTGGAGAGCGGGGTGTGGGGTAAGTCGCGGGGTGAGGGGCTACCTCTGGCAACCAGCGGAGGCGGCCCTGCGGCCAGGGGGCGCGGGGGGCGAGGCCGGGAGGCCCGGGGCAAGGCCCAGCCCGGGGCACTGGAAGCCAGACCGTCTGCTCGGAGCATGAATTCTGTGACTGACCAGGCTGGACAGAGTAAAGTCGGGGACGAAGCCGGCAGGTGGACCCGCACAGAGGCCTGGCTGGGGGGCGCGGGGGGCGAGGCCAGGAGGCCCGGGCCAGGGCGAAGCCGGCAAGGCTCGGACTTCAGAGGCTGGACTGACGGACCGGGTCGTGGGCATCGACCGAACTGACACTCGGGCTGGACCGGGCTGGGGAGGCTTGGATGTCGAGCGGACGGGCAGGGATGGCTCTGCTGTTTGGGGGCGGGGGCCGAGGCTGGGAGGCCCGGCCTAAGGCAAGGAGGCCAGGCCCGGGGCCACCCAACCTGGTTGACGGCGCGGGCCCTCCAGTGTCTGCCTGACACCCATGGGTGCCGAGACCCTGGAGGCCAAGCCGATGGAGAGGGTAGCCCATTGGATTGGGGAGTGAGGGACGGGGCTGGGGGAGACGCCGAAAGGCTTGGGGTGCTGAGGCCTGTCTGACGGCCCGGGGCTGAAGGGAGCAAACTGAAGACCGGGGCCTCGGGTGCCAAGCTGATGAGCGACGGGCTGGCGGGCATGGCAGGGAGCGCCCGAGGCCACTCGGATTGGCCTGAGCGGCAAGGAAGGGCCCGAGAGCGGGCGAAGGGAGGCCGGAGCGGGTCAGCGATCCAGGAAGGCTCGAATGACGGACAGGCGGGAAGGGCCAAGGAGGCCCCTGGCGGGGCCACGGCTTGAGGATCCCGGCCTGGGAGGGGGCGCATCGCTGCTAGGAGGCCCTGATCTGAGTGGGAGTGAGAGGAGGCCCCAAGCCTGAGGGCGGCGGGGACCCATGGGCCCGGCTTGGGTGGCGGGCGGCCTGGGGCGCTGGGATGAGGAGCCAGGGAGGAAGAAACGAACAGCCTAGCTGGTGGGCCGGGTAACGGAGGAGAGGAGGCCTGCAGCCCGATGGGCATGAGGAGGCCTGACTGTGGGGTGGGTACCCCCAGTCGCAGCCTGGCCACTGATAAGTCAAACCCGGTCGGCATCATGAGGACTAGTAGAGTGAAAGAGAGGAAAGTGAGGGCCTCTGGAGGATAGGCCTGCCTACACAGGGGACAAGGGAGGCCTTGGGCCTGACAAACTGGTGGTGTGAGGGGGTGGGGTCCAGAAGCCAGGGCCGAGGTTGGGTGAGGACATCACAGGCCCAGGGCCCAGGGAAGGGGGAGGGGTGGTGAGAGAGGAGGCCCTAGGCCTTGGGGGGTGAGGGGGTAGTGTTCTAGAGAAGGCCTCAGGCGTAGTGGTGGGGTCTTAGCCAGAAGGAAGGCCCTGGTAAGGTCAGGAGTGAAGGCTTGAAGTCCTGGAATGGGTCTGGGTTATACCATGAGGAGGGATGTGGAGAAAAGGCCCAGGGGTTTGGGGGGGGAGGGAAGAATAAGCCCCAAGATTGTACAGAGTGGTTAAGGAGGCCTCTGGTGTGATGAGGATGGGGCACTGATCCTGAAGGGGCCAGTGTCTTTATGTGCTGGAGAAGACTCAGACTACCTCAGGCCCGGTGGGGGGAGGGGACTGTGGAGCCTCTGTGCCAACAGCTGAGAAGAAAGGGGTCAGGCTGACCCATGAGGAATTGGAGAAAAGTCTATGGAGCTGGGCAGGGGGCTCAGAAAAGCCCTGGGGAACGTGGAAGAAGGCAGACAGGATCGGTTATGTCAGCCTGGAGCTTCTAGGATGCTAAATCTGTCAAAGAGGAAAGAGGACTGGGTCTGGAGGTCCCAAGTTAGGAAGAGGAAGCATTAAAAGGTATAGGCTGGAGAGAAGCTAGGAAGAGCTTGGCTTAAGAATGGAGAAAGGAAGAGAGAAATTTGTGGATAACAGGGTATGAGAATGTCTGTGGCTATGAGAGAGGATGGCTAAACAGAGGGGAGTAGATTGGAGGGACAGAGGAGGAAGAGCTCCCATGGGCCTAATCCAGGTACACAGTCACAGGAAAAGCTGAATTAAGTTAGGTCTCTTAGAAGAGCCAAGTAAGAGGCTTGCTAAGCAGTGCTATTTCGGAGGAAGATCTCAATGTGGGCTAACAGCCAGGAAAGGCTTCCTGGAAGTAGTGGACTGATTTTGCTTTGTGTAGGGAGAGGAGGAGAAAGTGAGTAGAGGTAACAGGAAAGGATACAATGAGGAAACATAAGTAAAATAGATGTGTTATACCTTGACTGCCAATATATGGAATTGGACTTTATCTTAAATGCAGTAGAGAGCCTACATCAGTGTAATAGCATAGGGAATTAGTGCTTTCATTCAGCAAGTACATTGAGTACCTACTATGTACAAAGAAGTATATTAGACTCTTGAATAGCAAGATTCAGTCATTTCGCAAATAAATATAAAAGGAGATCCTAGAGTAGAAGTTTTTAAAGATTTTCTTCCAAGATCTTAAACTTATTCTTGGCTGGACAGAGATGCTCTTGATAGGATAAAAATAGTAATTGCCAACATTTAGTGACCTTATTATGGCCAAGCATGGTCCTAAAAAGATTACAAGCATTATCTTCTTTAATTTTCACAACAATGCTTTGAGGTAGTTATTATTAACTCCATTTTAAAATTGAGGAAATTTAGGCTTAGAGACATTAATTTGCCCAAGGATTCACAATTAATTAAGTGGTACAATCAGGATTTTACCCAGTTTTGTGCAATTCTAGAGATGAAGCCATTTAGCCACAATACTGTAATGCCTTTCAGATCTAGGGAAGTTAGCAAGCAGGTTTTGTTTTTAAGATATATTGAATTTTGAGTACAGAGTCTAATTACTTCTATTCTTCATAGGAAAGTACTAGTTCTGGGTATAGTGGGTACCCAGCGGATGGAAGTAACCTGGAAGAGAGGGAAGGGAATTCAGGAAAGGCTTCATAAAGGACATGTGATATTTGAAAGATGAATAGTTGTTATTCAGAAAGTTACAAAGATATTCCTGATGGAGAGAACAGCATAACAAAATTAATCTCATGCACAGAGGCAGAAAGCAGTGTAACACGTTAGATAGATGAAAAAGGTAGTTTAGTGTGGCTGAAGAGTAGGAGGCAAAGCAGGGAATTGGAGAAGTTAGTAGGACCCAGATTATGAAGGACTTTTAAAATCACACATATTCAATAGAACGTTTTAAATGCAGAATGGTTCATTATGCTTGTGTAGAAGTGAACTGACCAGCTCCTAAATGAGCATATCAACGTGCTCTGTGGGATTACCTCATCCTGTAGATGTGTATGGCCCTGAAATTCCAGCTGCCAACTAAGTGGCTGAAAACAAGTGGACTAGAGTTTGAATTAGACTTAGGTTAGCTTCTATAGGTTCCATTTGTCAGAAGTCTGCTCTTTTATTTTATTCTTTCCCAATAGGTTAAATAATGCTTAGAACCCTGGAAGAAAAAAAAAGTAAATTTTGTGTTTTGGTTTTTGTAGCCCTCCCAGGCCCAATACTTCAAAGCATCTTACCTCTGCTCAATATATATTACTTGGAGAGGATTGAGGAAACTGCCCTCAAGAAAGGTGAGTGCCTTTCTCTCTTTTTCTCAGTCAGTGATTGTAAGCAAGGCACCATAATGTTCTTTAGGTAAATATCACACCTGATACCTACATAGAACTTCATATTTTTCAAAACATACTCTCACACCTACTTTCTTATCTGACTCCTCAGTGTCCTGTAAAACACAAAACAAGTATATGATTCCTAGTATACTAATAAAAGTGAGACCACAGTCACACCATAATTAATAGCAAAGCCAGACTAGAACCCAGATCTTCTGAATCTTCATTTTTCTGTTTTATCAAGTTGCCCTTCAAGTCCCCCATTGGACACATCTGTTAAGAACTAACATTTATATAATTAACCCTGATGTGCCAAGCACTCTCATAAGCACCTTACCTGAAGAAATGTATTTAATCCTTTCAACAATTCTATGAAATAGCTATTATTAACTACATTTACAGATAAGGAAACTGAGGTACAGAAAAATTAAGTATCTTGCCCAAGGTTACACAGCTAGAGTGTGGTTTGCTGATATTTAAACCCAGGCAGTCTGTCTTTAGAACCAGTGTTCTTTACTGCTTTGCCACATTGCTTTTGTGAACTCAGAGGACAACGTTAAAAGGCTGATGTACTTCACTCATGGTGGCCAAGGAGCAACCAAGTAAATGTGATATTTCCCTCTACAGGCCTCTCCACTCAGGCTATCTGGCGCCGACTATGGGATGAGCTGATGAAGACAAGGCCTTCCAGTCTGGAAGTAAGTTAAGGCACCAGGTAGAACTCTGGCCTGACTTTACACAGTGAAAGCAGGAATAGCACAAAAGCATAAGTTGGATATGGCTAAAGTACAG